AAGAGTATTTATGCTAACTTCTTTTATTTTCGATGTCTGTGTGCTAACCCACTGCTTGTCTTAACACATGACCCATGTGATGCATCTTCTTTGAAGTGCAGGCTTTTCAATGCCATTGATTTTTAAAAGACTTTACTGCAGTAATGAGATGAACCCAGATCTAATGCAAGAAATCTTGCACTTATACTGTGCAGGTCATTTTTGTCATTGCTGCAAGCTTTCCTAACAGCAATGTTTCCGTTTTATTTTGGCAGGAAATACTCTGCCTGGCATAAAGATGGCTCTTTCCATTACACCCACACCACCTCTTTTGGGAACTATTCCTTCATCTGTGTGGATGCCACACTCAGCCCAGGCCCTAAGAGACCCTTTAATTTCTTCGGACTTTTAAACATGGTATTTTATAAGTCTTGGCGTTCCATTTTGCTGGCTGTTTTACTTCTATAGTGGTTGGTTGGTTTTTATTTATAAAGAATTGTCTGAAAGACAATTAATCTAAGGGAGTCTTTACATTTTTAAGTTATTATGCATGTGGTACATTTATGTAGAGAAATGAATATGTCACCATATAGAGTATCTGAGTATCTCTTAAGAAATAATCCAGTACAAAAAATGTCAAATTAGACATTTTAAGTACATTGTCAGTAGTTTCTTGGCATTTAGCTAGACTAGTGATGATTTCTTTATATGCTGTAAAGTTTAAAACAACCCCAACCCAACCCTATAATTTCACTCCTTTATGCTTTTTTTTAGAAGCTTTTTCATTAATATTACAGATGAGAGAGTTGCACATATCAATGTAATAATGTGAAATATAATCCTATAAAGAAATGTGTCATTTATGAAAGTGAAGTCTGATCTTCTGAGACCATAAAAATTACATGGCATTCTTTTGAAAAAATAACATTATTCCCAATGTTTAAATCACTTCTCAGCTCAGGTAACATCTTGCTTCCCTTTGATTTTTCTCCGTAGGTGGTTGATATGCTTGTCCTGGAGATACTCTCCTGAAGTTTTGGCAGAGTTACTGTGTTCTGCTAAACAGATGCCATATTATGCCTGTGATAATGGCCTCAATGAAAAGTAACATGTTCTCCCTCTAGTCTTGTCTAAGGGAGGCTCAACATTTAATTAAGTGTTTGTAAAGCACTTGGTGATACTCAGATGAAAGCTGATGTGAGAGTGCCAAGTACTGTTCTCATTGTTTACTGTAATCCATAGTGGGTGCAATAGATTTGCAGACAAACCCTCAAGGAGCTAAGAAATGCAGTTGAGCCCAGAGCTCTTGTCCTTGGCTGCAGTAAGTCAAGCATTTGCTTGCTAATTACCCAGCAGAGGGAGTCTGGAGAGCATAACTTGCAGATTTTTGCACAAAACTGAAGGTAGATACCTGATATTTTGTTAGGAATTAAACCTCTGCCAGGAATTTGAAAAAGAAATTAGATTTGTATCATTGATGTGATTGTGTGGCTTAGGTAAAAAGTATTCTTAAAGCCCAAATTCACGGAGGCAAAGGAAATGTAAATTCACTTAATAAGCCCATTACAATAACCCAGAATGGTAAACTGAATACATTCATTTTAATATACCTTTATTTCTGTTTCCTTTATTCATGCCCTTCAGTGTTTCTTTTCAGGTAGGAGGGAAAAGAATGTTTGTGGTGCTCTGGGTTACCCTAAAAGATGATCTTCAAAATGGACAGAGTGGGGTTGGGTTCTGTTTTGGTTTTCTTGCCTCTTCAGTTAGACTTTGAGATCTTATTGGTATTTGGAATATCTGGACAGTAAGTGGTTGATTTCATACTGGAAGTCAAGTAAAGGGAGAACTCTTATCTGCTGTACAAGTGTTACTTTTGTTTATCAGCAATGGCTGGGTGATATTTTCAAGATTCAGCATCATCGTTCATCCAGTTGAATGACTGACACATGTGATGCACAGTTTTCGTAGTCTGTCATGCCTCTAAAAGGCCATCCAGCAACTCAAGAGATAGTAGGGATGATAATTATAAACTAAAGATGTTTGCAAAGTCAACTAAAACATCTTTGACTACATAAATAAGCAGTAGCAAAGATAGAGATATCATTTACCAAAATCTTCCTTCATATTGCACTTTTCCTATGTTCAGTTGCAAGGAAGGTGTTGAGTGTCTTGTTTTCACTTTCTTTTTCCAACATCTGATTTTAGGGATATCCCTAGTAGCACGGTTTGTTTAGGGATATCCCTAGTAGCACAGTTTGTTCATGCACAGGTCCCTGAAGCAACTGAGAATATTCTCTGTAAAAACAGATGAACTGCATTCTTCATTAGTTTCTTCTCTGCTTTCCTTTTGCTATTCTTTCCAAAGAGCTTGAATGTTAAACAGGTTTGTTTGGTTGTTTTTGTCTTTCCAACACCTGCCCATTTCAGAATCAAATGAAAGAGCTATCATCGATGGCAACAGAAAGTCAGCACAGCAATCACACTGTCTGGTTTGGCCACTACCCCACCTCAACAATCATCTCCCCAGCCCCAGGAATACGAACATTGATGAGGTAAGATCTTTCTTTTTCCCCTGTGTGTTTTCAGTCTGAAGTACATTTTCTGCCTCTCTTCACATACTTGTCTGTCACTTTTAAGGTTTTCTGCAGTGGTATTTCCTCTCCACCCAAATAATCACAATTCTTATGCTATTTGATTAGCTCTGCCACAGCCTATTTATGTGGACATCTCCATACACTGGGTGGGCTGATGCCAGTCTTGCACAGTCAGCACCGTGGCGGCACTCTGGAACTTGAACTGGGAGACTGGAAGGATAACAGAAGGTAAGTAAACCCTATGTGAACAAATTATTATATGGAACCTACCTGGTTATACTGTGATTCCCTTTCATGCTCTGTGGAGAATTTGAAAGGAGCACCAGATGTGCCTGACTGGTTATTACTATTAATGCATTTGAAAAATGTTTCTGTGTGTAAGGTTGGGATTTTTTTTTCTCTATACCAAATGTGTGCTAATAAATTATGTAAACATTTTTTTTTAATTCATTCTTGATATTTAGGAATTAAAAAGAGGACATCTCAATGTCCACTTAGTATCACAGAATCCCAGACCGTTAGGGATTGGAAGGGACCTCCAAAGCTCATCCAGTCCAATCCCCCTGCCGGAGCAGGAACACCCAGATGAGGTTACACAGGAAGGCGTCCAGGCGGGTTTTGAATGTCTGCAGAGAAGGAGACTCCACAACCTCTCTGGGCAGCCTGGGCCAGGGCTCTGTCACCCTCCCTGAGAAGAAGTTTCTTCTCCAATTGAAGTGGAACCTCCTGTGTTCCAGTTTGTGTCCGTTACCCCTTGTCCTATCATTGTTTGTCACCGAGAAGAGCCTGGCTCCATCCTCATGACACTCGCCCTTTAAATATTTATAAACATGAATGAGGTCTCCCCTCAGTCTCCTCTTCTGCAAACTAAAGAGCCCCAGCTCCCTATGGAGTATGTGTTTAGTATTCAAAGAAGAGAAATAAACTGTAATAAAATTCAGCATCACTACTTCCAAATACCCATGGCTCTGCACCAGCTGTTAGAATCTGAGAGGCAAAAATAGTCTACAGAGAAATGTTACCTTAGCAGCATAACAAAAAGTTTCCAATGCTCCATGGAAGGTACAGTAGTATATTAGCTTTTGTTCTGCACTAATCCACTTGTATGCATACAGGAAGAGAGCACGCTGGGATCTTTGTCCCTGACTAGAGTACCTACCCAAACACTGCAGTAATGTACCTGAAATCTAAATTCTTTAACGTAATGTTCATCAGCCTGCTTTGTGTGCAAAATTCAATAGATCTTTGGAATTTGAGTGATGCTTCAGTGGTTTATAATCAAATGAACCCGATCAGAGGTAACCAGCTGTACAGTTAATACAGCACAGTTGTTAATACAGGATCAACTACAGAAGAGAATAAATGGAAAAGAAATCAGGCAAGTTCTGTTTAGGAACTTGGGAAGCACGGGAATCAGCCGTGCATGCAGTTGTTTGTATAATTTTTCTTTTGTTTGTATTTTTTTCTTTCATTACAGGTACCGGATCCTTGCGTTTGATCATGACCTCCTTAGCTTTGCAGATCTTCTCTTTGAAGAATGGCCTGTAGTTCTCATCACCAATCCCAAATCCTTCCTTTACAGCAGCTCTGCTCATGAACCACTAGTCAGAATTCTTCATTCCACTCATATCAGGTACCTATAATCTCTTGATTTCACAATATTCAGCTATGTTTTAATACTGGGGTCTTTCTTGGTTACATCTCTATTTATATGTTATACATAAACCCTTTCTTTTAAATGTGTGTCTCTGCTGTTCTCCAAATTCACTTTTCTCTGGAAGGTTGTTCCTGAGAACTCACTTTGTATCAGATCTGTAATAAAATGAGATTCTACAGTAGTAATTGATGTTTATTTTATTTATGTAGCTATTCCCCTAAAGTCAATTTAACTTTTTTAAGTACCCAAAGCTGTAATCTGTGTCATTAATCTCACACGTTCACATTACTTCTACTGATTTCAGAATCTTTTCTGTGTATGTTTCCAAGTGTTTTCTCTAATCGCTAAGGACTTAGCCTCTTGTGTTTCCATTTTTACATCACTTGTATCTTAAAACATCTTCAGCCTCTGCCAATTTTCATGTTTGTTTTAAATATCTCCATCTTTCTATTTATACCTTTTTCTGTTTATTGTTTTTTCATTTGTATTTCAAATTTCTATGCCCCTTCCAACATCTTATACTTGCTGTTAGACCAAAGTGCATGAAATTTATGGGTATATTGCATATGCAGAATTACAATCAAAAGACTTTTGTCATACTTTTCAGGTAGGAAGCAGCGTCCTACTAAGTCTACGTACTTTTCAGTTTCCTATTTAGAACCATATCTGAACATTCTTTTGATTATATTGAATACATTAACTGGTGGAATTGTACATCATAACTATATAAAACTCCTTCATTTGACTGAAACATGCTCTGAAATGCCTTTCATGTTAGCAGAAGTGAAAGAAATTGTATGTACAATATATTACGTCAATGTTAGTATCGCCGTTTATCTGAATATAAGCACTGCCAAGTGATACTGCATTTGTTGGTATCTCAGATCTGTGATGCCAGTCTTGCAGTCCACTCCATTTCTCATAAATTCAGTTATAAAGACTGAGAGGTTATATTCTAACTAGCAAAAAGTAAAAACAAACAAACAACCCCATAAAAAAACCAAAAACCCATAACCCCAAACAACAGAAAAAAGAAAAAAACCCATCCCCAATAACAAAGGACTTTAGAGAGAGACACTGACAATTTTTACTGAGGACATCTACAAGTATTTGATTGTGTCTGTCTGTGTGCAGAAGATACATCCCACTTGTGTCAGCAAATGCTTTGACAGCAAGAGTTCCAAGATTATTTCTACCAGGACCTGAGAATCTGCCACTTTTTAACCTGTTCTAAAGCCCAGTTTTCTGTCCTGTTCTTTTGCACAGTACCATACAGTTAAAAAGAGGAGCTCTGTAAGAAAGAGCTGCCATGTTACCATTACCCTACAGATACTTCACCGTTTAAATTTCTAACTCCTTTGAACTTTGCAGTACAAGGTAGCATAATCTTTAAGGACTTCTCTTCAGGAAGTAATGACAAACCTGCAAAGCTTTTAACGATTCTGTTTATTTACTTCCTAGAATTCTGGCCTTCTCTCCTTCTGTCATTATCTCTGTCAAAGTCTACATAGACGGAGTTCACTTGGGGAATGCGCATCAGGTGTCTGGCCCTCTCCATGTACTGAAGTGGAGCCCGCAAAACTACAGTGAAGGGTTCCACCACATAGATGTGATTGTCCAGGTAAGTTACCTGTTGGCATTCTTTGTACTGAACTGCTTTGTACTTTGGAAAGCTGCCAGGCAGAAAAGGACCTGGAGGTGTTGGTGGACAGCAATGCCTATGAGCCAGCAATGTGCCCTTGAGCCAAGAAGGCCAACGCCATCCTGGGATGGATGGGAAGGGGTGGTTGTAGGGCAGAGAGGTTCTCCTGCCCCTCTGCTCTGCCCTGGTGAGACCACATCTGGAATATTGTGTTCAATTCTGGGCCCCTCAGTTCAAGAAGGACAGGGAGTTGCTTGAAAGAGTCCAGCAGAGCCACAAAGATGATGGAGGGAGTGGAGCATCTCCCTTATGAGGAGCGGCTGAGGGAGCTGGGGCTCTTGAGCTTGGAGCAGAGGAGACTGAGGGGTGACCTCATTCATGTTAATAAATTTGTAAAGGGCGAGTGTCAGGAGGAAGGAGCCAGGCTCTGCTCTCTGATGACAGCACAAGGGGCAAGGGTCCCAAGCTGGAGCACAGGAGGCTCAATCTGAACATGAGGAAAAACTTTTTTACTGTGAGGGTTACAGAGAACTGGCCCAGGCTGCCAAGAGAGGTTGTGGATTGTCCTTCTCTGGACACATTCAAGGGCAACCTGGACATGTTCCTGTGTGACTGCTCTGGTGATCCTGCTCTGGCAGGGGTTGGACTGGATGAGCTTTGGAGGTCCCTTCCAGCTCCTGAGATTCTGTGATTCTGTGAACTTTTATGTTGTCATGTCTGCTCCACCACTCTTCTGCATCAGATAACTAGGGACAAAATACTTGGTAACAGTCTTCCATTCATATTTGTCTGATTACAAAAACCAAAGGATTTATTAAATGAAATAAAAACGCTGACTGCTGAGCACTAAACCATTCATAAAGCATCTGGATAAAATAAAGGATTCCTATTTTTCATGAGAAATACAGTAAGACATGACAGAAGAGCAAGTAATTTGTCAAAAATAAATTAGTTTGAGTAACAGGCAACGATTAACTTTTAAGATTGTCTTGGGGAAAAAAAATCAGGCTTGACCAAGGAAAATGGGAAGTAGGATGATGTCAGTTCAGAAGGCAAAGGAACTGGATCGGAAAGATTGCAATGCTGTCTCTGATTGTCTGTTTGAAGTTCTTCCCATGATCTCTCACAGGCTGACAGTGAATACCGTTTCTGTTTCCCAGAGCATCACACTTAACTGATAGTAGACTACTGGGTAGAAAGTGAAACAAGTTTTTCAGCTAATGCTTCTGTTCTTGGTACTGTATTTTATTTCTGTGCCTTCCAGTGGCCTTTAGAAGTCGATCAGACTGTTCCAACAGTCTAACAAGTCTGCAGGTTTGCACAATAGCAATGGGAAAGTCAGCTTTGTCCTGCTTGGTGGAACCCAGCTGGGCATTTTTTCTCACAGGACAAGAGCAGTACTGCTTTTTTTCCCAATGGTCTTTCTGTTCTGCCAGTGTTCTACCTCCTCACTTGTTAGCAATTTCTGTGATGCTTTACTTGGGAAAGCTGCATTTTATAAGTAGTTTGGGGTTTTTTTAAACGATGATGAAAACATGCACACAAAACTGAGTAACATTTGAAGAGGGTTATACAGGCCTGCGTAGCAATAGTTTGCTAGCAAAGAAGTGTTTGTTATCAGGTAACTGTATGGGATTTTAAAAAAGTAATCTCCTTCCCCCTCTGGTCATAAATCACTACTACATCTGGTAACTGAGTAGTTTTGGGAAAGCCAGGTGGATGAAGCATTAACTTGAGTTAGGTACCTGGAGAAAATCTGAGTATTTCATTGCTGTACATTGTTTCTGGGATTGTCCAAGTATTGTCTCAGCTGTAATCACACTAAACATACTGAACCCTTTACTAGAAATAAACCATTTATGATGTACTGGAAGATAAGGTGTCAGTGTTACACATGCAGAAATATCACACTGAATAAATGTAGCACTGTTATTGTTTATCAATATCAGTTTCTAGCAAATACACAAGAAAAGAAGCACAACAAAGCTTCAAAGTATTTTAAGGTGGGCTGTTATCTAGAACTGAGCTCTCAGAAAACAAGTGGTGGTGGCCAGTAAGTAGTCACTGTCTTCCCCAAGTTGCTGAATCTCTGACAGGATCTCCTTCACGTGTGGCACTTTCAGACTATGATCTTACAGTCACCAATTTACTTGAAACTACAGAGTTGACAGTAAATAACCCTCTGCAGGTAGAAGTATTTAAAACAGCAGTATGATAGATGTGTATGCATCAATTGGATCTTTCCAGAAAAGCTGCAATGACAATTAGCAACTGTAATGAGGTATTTTGTGCCCTACAGGTATCTAAGTGCTCTTTTCTTTTATACCAATCTAGGATGCTTCGGGAAGAATTAGCACACGGGATCATATATTTGCTATGGAAGAAAATCTTTCTCTTAGATTTGGCTTTTTGCCATCTGTTATCCTTCTCAGTGACTCCTATGTTCTAGTAAGTACTGTCAGCAAAACAGCTGTTACTCTGTGATAGTTTCCCCAGAGACTGCAGGAAGCATCTTCCTAATTCCTGGTAGAATTGAATTCACTTTGCTCTTTTCAGATATGACTCCAATGGAATTTGACAAATATTTCAAGTTTCCTTTCTCCAGTTGCATGCTTCAAATGTGAATGTGCAGCAGTGGTTCATGCAAGCAGTTGACTTCCTGGATTTAGTCAGAAGTGTCCGTGTTTGGGCATAGGTATATGCTCATTTTGTGCAAGCAAGAAATGGAAAAGAAACTACAGGAGACAGCAGAAAAAGGAAACATTAAACCAAAGAAAACTTCACTGTTGCAATGTGCATACTGGCGAGAATGCTGGAGAAATTCTCACATCAGCTGCTGACCTTAGAGCTAGCTCTAGCAAAGAGGAAGGCAAAAGTTCCAGTTCCAGGTCATATCCAGAAGAGTTACAGCTCAGTACATGCAAAGAAGGTGTGTCATAATAGTTAAGTGCACTTGTAGAACAACATGGAAAAGTCCATGTGACTATAGAGAGTATCATAATTGCCCCAAAATCATTATATTAGCTTTGTTAATCAGTAACCTGTATCCTCCATGATGTCTTGAACTGAGGTTTTATTCAGTACAGCACTCAGCAAATGTTTTACATAGGAAGTGTATTTACACTTTTTCAATGGATGTGTTTTACAAACCCCATTTGTGAAAGATTCACGTCTATCACTTCCAGCTGAATTCAAGTCAGTGAGATGCAAGTCAAAGAACTTAAAAACTACTAAGTTTCTTTTTATTCTTCAGTTCAATGACACCATCAAGCTTTGAGTATGTGTTTCAGTATCATTCTATCAATGTCCATAAGGCAGTGCTCAAAGGCAGCTGCTGCTCCAGAGCTAGCTCAGCTAAAACTGTCTTTTCAGGCTCGGGTGCTCTTTGGACTGACTGTGCTGGTTCAGATCGCCTTGCTCGTTATTTTCAGATACCTCCAAAAGCCAGCACTCAAAGGTACGAACCAATGCTTGTCTGTGGTTTTTAGAGGATCTGATTTTCTCTAAACTTTTTTTTACTATTTTTCTGTATGCTAACAATACATAAGTAATAGTGCTGTTAATCACCACATGCATTTTGCATCTAGCACTGCAGCGTTTGATTGGGGTCCTTACTTTCAGTTATCACAGCAGTAGTAGAAATGCATTCCTTTGTGTCTGTTCTGCAGACATACACGTTTTATATTTGTGTTTCTTAACACAGAATGAGTAAATAATGTGCAGATTTGTTTCAGAAAGACCAATACATTTTATATACTTTTATACATAAATAAGTGTGTGTGTGTTGCACCCTGAATCAAGTGTACTTCTCTTAAATGTTGTCTCTTTTTAGAAAAACCAGGATTAGTTATCCTGACCTCATATTCCCTTCACGTCTTCAGTAAGACAAACATCTTCTATTACTCAATTCTGCTTCTGAATTTATACACTGTTCTGGGTAAGTACTCCGAAAGCAAAGCGAGCACTTTAAAATTTAATTTGGTTTTCACTCATACTTTGGTAAGACCTGGTTGTACCTTGGCCTGAAATGAGTATATGGAAAGTACATCTAAGACATCTCAGCTCTGATGCTAACAGTTTTATCTTATTTCTTCTCTGATAATATTTTACTAAAGTAGCTACTTTCCTGGCCATCAGTGTAGTATGCATCACACAGTGCAGTGTGCCCATTTTGACTTCTAAGCTGAACCAAGCTGGAGTTTTTTATGACCGTGTCTTACTGTAATTCTGGGAAAAGCATTTGAAAGGAAGTGCCTTTTCAGTTCCCTCATAAGGAAACCGTATGTGGTATTGAAAATTATCACAGAGATTAAACCAACATAAAAGTATTTTCATTGCATGCCACACCTCATTGATGTACCATGGTATTTTCACATCAGGAACATTCCCCAGACAGACAGCTGGTTGCTGAAGATGAAAACATTAGGCTCATTACTATAGAAAAGCAATAGGGAAGTCATTTTGCCCACTCTGTGCCCAGCAGTACAAAGGACCATGTGAAAAAGGGCCATGTCTAGATTGTATTTCCTGATGGTGCTGTATGTTTGGTTCCCTCTCTTTCAGGACCGTGGTTTGTAGGTGAACTGATAGATGGCCAGGTCGGGGTCTGTTTTTCCTTCGGGGTGTTTGTTGGCGGCTCCTTCTTACAGGGCGGTGTGACGTTTGTGGTGGGGATTTTTCAGGTACACGTTTATAAAAAGCTGACAAACTGCTTTCTTCTGGGATTTTCTTCTGCTTTTTTTCATAGTTTTCTCTATCCTTCCAAGACCCTTTTCTTGATAAGATTAGTGGCTATACCTGACTAGAACAGCTCTTTCTTACTTGTCTGCAAATGTAAAGGGCAGAAAGGAAGGAGGTTGTGCATTGTTTTCTCAAACTTCTCTTTTCCTCTATTTGATGTTGCTTTGGACACCCTGTATGTCTGGATTGGAGGCCATCTTTACAGATTTATCACTCTACTTTTTTTTCCTGTCCTTGGCTCATGCATAGGTTGCAGTGATTAAGCAAAAGGAACTGAATGGCCAGGGCAGTCCTTGCACTCTGAATAACCCTTCGAATCGGGTGTCACTCACCAAGCACACAAGTCCACTTTTCCCAGCAGTCTGACCTGGCTGCCCTCTGGTTTTCCCAGCTGCCATCAGTCTGAAAGAGAGCGTGTCGTTCCTTGGTATTTGAGCCAGACTGAGGTAGTGTTGCCTCCTTCATAGTCCCTCCCTTATGGCAGCTGACACCACAGTGGGCTGGGTCAGGAAGCTAAACTGACATAAGGACCTTCTTTTTTTACTGTGCTAGTATTTTGTCAAGTCTAGAGCTCCCTGACCCAGCTCTAAGGAAGGTCAGATGCATGTCAGTGCCTCCCATCGCAAGGGATTTGGCCTGGGCCTGAGGCATGGGCACCCACAGCTCTATCAGCTGCAGAGTATGGGAAGTGCATCCTGAGATTCCAGCTCTGGGAATTGTACTCAGCCCTTAGAATGGGATAGTTTTATGTGCTCTTATCTTTCTGTGTTACCCAGAACACATGGCTTGCTCATAGTCTTATTTTTTTTCTGCTCTTCTTTTCAGATGTTGTTTTTCAACCTGCCGTTAATGGCCTATCTGTGCTGGTGCCTGTTGCTGCGATGCCAGGGTCACAGCTTCCGTTCTCACATCCGTCACGTCCGACAGCTCGTGGCTGTGCTTGTTCACCTGGCAATGGCTCTCCTCCTGGCCTGGCAGGTCTATTCCTGCTATTTCCTGCAGCGAACCCATGGGACCTTGGCTTTCTTCCTCTCCCCAATGAGAACGTGGCTGGTGGTGCTGACCTCAGCTCTGATTTATAAAACCTGGACACTGAAATCATCTGAGCTGAGAACTTACATAGTAGAAATGAAAAACTGTCAGAGCTACTGAAGTACAATGTAAGTATTCAAAAGTTCCTCGACTTAAAAACTGTCAAGGTACAACCTATAGTTTTGTGATGCTGGAATTCCCTACAGCCCAGTCATCAGCTGAACAGATCTGAAGCTGCACCTGCATTGGCACAGTAGTAAATGTACAACCACATGTATGTGTACGCGGTTTGTGTGGTGGTGGTGTGGTAGCAGGGGAGGGACTACAGAGGCAGTTCCTGTGAGAAGCCGCTAGAAGCTCCCCCTGCTCCAATTCAGACCCGTGTCTGGCCGAAGCAGAGCCAATCAGCCCCCCTGCAAATAACAGACTTAAGAGGGGCACAGCACGTGGTGTGTCCCTGGCTCCACGCAGTGCAGCTCTGGAGCCGGGAGCTTTTCAGGAACCAACAGAAGAAACCTGCAGCAGAGAGAGAAGTGTGATGTGAAACAACTACGCAGACACCACTGTGTCACAGATGGAGTGAGTCACAGGATTATGATTTAGCAGCAATTTATGATTTATTTAAAGTGTGAGGTATTTTGTGCAGTATTTAAACAATAGCCAATTTTATCTTTACAAGGTGATTCAGAAAAAGATATTATAATTAAAGCTGTGACTTAATTACAGAATGACAATGGCTAATTTACTATAAGGTATTCTAAATAAAAATACAGGAGTGTGTGTGTATATAGATATAGATATAGATAGATATATATATATACACATATATGAGTGTGTGTGTGTGTGTGTATATATATATACATATATGAGAGTGTGTGTGTGTGTGTGTGTATGTATATATATATATATATATGAGTATATATATGTATGTACAAAGCATGCAAATAAAATATACTGGGTACCAGAAACACAGATATACAAACTCGTATAGGCAAGTCCCTGTAAGTAGAGAGCTGGATAGAAGCAGCTAGCTTATAGGTAAAACTTCCTTCATCCTGAGTTTAGAGCAAATATACACAAGGCTCAAGAAGGACTGTCTTCACCCTGGCCTTTTGTTAGCTCTGTCAGTGGACAACCTCCAGGAGTTTGTACCTAAGAGGTGTCCCAGCTCAGAAAAGATACTGGTGGCAGCCCACCACAATCAGGAATAGCTCAAAGGATCTCCCTTTAGGTGCTATTTATAGGGCCCAAGACAATTGACTTCTGTCAGGTAACTATTCAGTTTGGCCCAGCTCGGATGATGTAATATTGGTGATGTAATATTGGGGGATGTAATATTCTGGTGCTTTCTATGGGTACACAGACCCAAAATTTGTTAGGCTTTGAAGTTCTGGTATCTCCCTGCTTCTACCCATGACCCAGGTCCAGATGTACTGGGACTATCAGGAGGTGATGGATTATAATTACCAGCCACAAGTAATGACAAGGGAGGAAGCTAGGTACACCAAGGGAATGCCTTAACATTCTGCCCTGTGACCTCTCATAAGCCATCTCTGATTGTTCTGTGGCCCAGGAAAGAATAATTCCACCAGGTGCCAAGTGGCCTGGAAGGAGGAGGAGCTGCACCGCCACACAAGGCCAGGGAAGAAAGGAGGGGGAGGAGGCCTGCAGCAGCAGAGATCCCCTGCAGCCCGTGGTGAGACACAAGCTGTGCCCCTGCAGCCCACAGAGGTGACTGGTGGAGCAGAGATCCACCTGCAGCCCATGGAGGACCCCACACTGGAGCAGGCGGCGAGCAAAGATATCTTGTTTGTAGATGTGTTATCCCTGGCTCCAAGGACCCAAATAAAAATCACATGCTCTGAAACATGGTTTACAGATAAATTATGTATATATGTAGGAATAATGTAATGAATTTTGAGAGAAAGAGACTACTGGTTCCATAAAATGCAGCTCATCTTCTAGAACGTATCACCAGTCACTTAAATGGACGAGTGATAACTGGAAAAACCTCTGACAAGTATGGAGATACTATGGTAAATCTGCAAGCCACCCTATAAAGAAAACTGCATTTGTTCCCTCCTTGGCCTGTGGTGCCCAGAAGACACAAATCAACATCATGGACTGAAACGAGATATTGCAGTGACTACAGGCCCTGTGTTGTCCTCAGGAATTGCTTGCATTTGGTTCTCTTTCAAAATTAAGCTCTTCTGCTCACCAAAAGGCTGCATTCCACTGAGAAGATCACACAGTATTGTGCTGCAAGGTATCTTAGCATTTACATCAATCGGCAGCAGTGTAAGCTCTCTCGTAGTGTTACACGGTTTATGAGGTGTTTTTCCAGTTTATGGATGAATTATGGATGAAAAGATTTTATTTCTTAACTTTTTTTAATTGAACAGAAGCAAATTGCTTTGATATTCATGACTTCTGCCATATAGTTTTAAAATAGCACTGCATGGCCTTTCTGGGGTAAGCACGAGAATACAGAGGTTTTCTGAAGTCAAGAGTATCATTTCCAAGCTGCTGTTTTAGGAGGACAGATCAGAGCTACATGAGGTGAGCAAAGCAAGTGGCAGATTGTGGAACCAGACTGCTGAAGTACTTTACATACTGCTGGCAGCCGCTGGTATGGTCTGTGACAAATTAATGTTCCTTTGTACAAATGATCTGCTACAGAACTCTGCAGGTTTGTTGGTTTGGTTTGGGTTTGGTTGGTTTTGTTGTTGTTTTTTTTAATCTGTATGGAGGAGCTCCTTTAAAATACTTGATTCCCATTTGAAACTACTCTACAAGGACACTCGAGTGATTACTGATTGATATTGATGAGTATTTGGAAAGCAAAAAAAACCCTGATGATGTTTTTCAAATACATTTTGTTCTCTTTTTTCAAGTCTCTTAGAAAAAGCATGTGCCATTTTTCGAGCTGGTGTTTGCTTACGATGGAATTCTTGTGTTCATCAGTGAATTACATCTAAGACGCTGTGAAATGCATAACACAAACTAGGAAAGAGAGGAGATTCTCTTACGTGCGTTATCCTCACTGCTCTGAGGGCCAAGCAAAACTTGCAGAGGGAAGTTCCAGGGGAATGCCCTTGCCGTGCATAATTTCCTGTAACTGTCATCAGCAAAGGCCTATCCAGTCCAGTGATCTCAACAAAGAGATCTTGGCATTCAGTGTAGTGGAAAAATGCAAGGATGGGGCAGGGAGAGAGGCTTTTTCCATGTGCTTTTTCCCTCTCTCTCTTTATAGCATACTAAAGAAGAATAAAAAATTACAACAAACCAACGAAGAAAATGGTTCCAAAGAGAAAGAAGCTGGCTCTGGAGCTGGGCGAGGCAGCAGCAGAGGTCAGAGGCAGCTGCCTGCAGGGCACCAAAGGCTCTCTCAGGCTGCCTGGCCTGGGGACACAAACAGGCTCTTCCAGTCTGAACTGCTCACTGCTGCCCATGCGCTTTCTAATAGGATTTCTATTGCCAGAAGAGCTGTAGCTATGACTGTGAGGGAGAGCGACACAAAGACAGCTCCACCCCAGCAGGAAGAGCACAAGCAGACATTGTCTTGCCCTCCCCAGTCACCTCTAGAACCAGGAGAAAGTCCAAATACGCAGTCTCCTGTCCAAACTTCACCCCATCAGAGTCCACTCCTTGGCTCTTCACTTTCCCTTCCCACATTCCCCAGCTGGGAAGGCAAAGGAAAGCAGGAACTGATGGGGTGAGGAAGGCTCCTTGTTGCAGAGGAGTAGGGACTGCAGGAAGGTCTCAGAGACAGGGAGAAGCCAGTCCACGAGGGTGGAGCAGAGGGTAGACCCATAGCACCACACTGCCTTCTCTCGCCATTTGCCCTCAGTCTCCCATAGAAATAAACTGCACCTTTCTGTTCTTGCACAAACACTGCTCTGTGATTTCATACTTTGTTTTCTTTCATTACTGCTGACCTGTTCAGCCACCCTCTTACCACCACTCTATCCAGAGTATAGTGCTGGAGCAAAAGTGAATTTTGCCATCTAAGGCATCTATCTGGTTGTTAAAATTCTGTGTTCTGTGCCTTGACTTGTTTCTGCTCCTTTCTGTGCTTTTCCTAAATTACCAGTCGTGTGTCTCAAAATGTTTTCTAGGTCTGGAGCTTATTTCAGCTGCTGTTATCCTTTCTTATTGTGGGATAATGCCATCTGCCTGTGATTTTCCTTTATCCCCTGGCAGTCTATTTATGGATTGCATAAACATTTCCCATTGTGAAGAGAACCCAGGAAGGAGCAAGGGAGCACAGCACCAGAGGACAGCAATGCTACAGACAACAGGACTAAGTAATCCTGCATCTGCTTCTTCCACAATCAATGCATTAAAATACAGAACCAAGAGATGAAGCTATTTGAAAGGCACCTGCCTACACTCTCTCTGCTTTTGTAACAACTGCTACTATAAACTGCAGTAAAACACATTTATGTCAAGGCTGGCAAGCTCTTTTCATGGTATTGCTGGCATATTCTGTGAAATCCTGACACTGAACGACATGGCCTAGCACTAAACCACTTATACATGTTCCTATGAAAAAGAGCATGTTTTTCCAATTATCAAGGAAGAAGCCAACAAGAAGGACAATAAGCATCATGAACTAAAAAAAAAATATGGAAAACGGAGAGTGAGAAAGCAGAAGGGAAGAAAATTAAATACAGGACAGCCAACAGCAACTGTTCAAGGTGCAAAAGCAGAAAGGATGGAAATGGGAGTGCATAAAACTTTACCAAATACAAACAAGCAGAAGATTGGCTCAAAGAAAAATAGGGTCTCTGCCCAATGCTGTTTAAGTTTTATTACCCCTTGCAACAAGAAATTCTTATTTACAAAAACTGTATAGCTGAACTTCTAGCGCCTTGTTGTGGTCACACAGCTCCTGCTCTGAATTCACGCTTGCCCTTGCTTAAGATGGTCAGATCACTCAGCATCCCTGTAAAGTAAAGAAAGCTTCCTGGGACAAGCTGGTGCTCCTGCAGCCAGTGACTGTCTGCATCTCAGCTTTTTGTTACCAGTCATTTGTCACCCTTTGTTACAGTGGAAGATGCAGGATTGCTGAAGAGTCACAGTATTACGATAATTAAGAAACTAACACAAGGTAGCAC